AACCCCAAAACCCCAAAACCCCATTGATTTAATTATTAATCATTTTGAAGATTAAGTTCAAATCAACAAATTTAATAAGACTTTTTATAAATATTTAGTCAAAAGCATATTAATTAAGTTTTGTCCATCATTCAATTAGAATTTAAGCTGCTTAGTCTTTTGCTTTTTGTCTCGATTACTATTAGAAGTATCGAATAAATACTAGGCTTTTATTATTTTAACCTTCGAATATCTCATTTATGGAATTCACAAATTTATAGTTCATTGCTAATAAAGTCATTTTATTCTTGATTCATATAATAGTATTCTCAAATTTTAAGTTTGCAAGAAAATATAAAATACTTAGGAAAAATGAAGTCTATCCCATTTTTTAGCATGATTTGGTATATCGGAAATTGTCGCTTAAGTACCCGCCTAATAGCGGTGAACAAAGGCAAATTGCTGAAAGCGATATATTATAGAGTATTGAAGCCTTATTAACCAGCTATTCAGTATCATCATCAATCTCCTCTTTTTATTAAACTGCTGTTATAATATTACGAAGGAAAGAAGTAAATAGAAATGCTATCGATAATCCCATAATAACTAATCCTATTATCATTAATGGAAGCGAATCCCTATAAATTCATGTAATTAGCAGAAATAAAATTACTGAGGAAGCAAAAATGACTCAGGAGATCCTTGAAGTAATAAAGTCACTGTTATTGTAATGAAAGATGATTGGACTAAGTAGGAATTTTCGAATCTATTCACCATAATTCCGCTAACAATGCTAAAAATAAAATAAGCTAACCCAGAAATCCCAATAATATAGCCTATTAAATCGTTTTTAAAAAAAGTGTAAGTACCGGTTAAATTGAATGGGACACCTATTTTAGTTAATTAATTTGTGATGAGCATTTAATTGAAATGCATTACTATCATTCCAATTATGGTAAAAATTAAGGACTTCGCAACTTTTTTATTTTTTAATATTTGGTAATAAGAAACGTCTTCTACATCTTGAGCTGCAAGACTTTCTTCTGATTGCCCTTGAGTTTTATTTACCCTGCTTGGAAGGAAAAGTACTGTTGAGATCGTAGAGAAAATAAGAAGTGCTGCAAACCCAAAGAAAATTAACTAATAGGTCGTTAAAGAATAAAAGGTTTATCCGATTGAGGGTCCCATCATCAAACCAAATCCTATTGCTGCTTCCAAGTAACCTGCAACTTCTCCCCTAGTTTTACTAAACTCGGCTGATGCAATAGCGAAACCTAAAACTTTAATGTCATTAATGATTTAAAGTTGATGGCGACAATAGATAAGCCCATTGTAACATTTTCCCATCAAATTATTTCAATCAAGTATAAGACTTACATGCCGCACATACGATACCGTCTGAGAAACCTTGATAAAATCTCAGTAGCATTGAGGCTAAAAAGAAAAGAAAACTAATAAATCGATTAATTTATCTATATTACTCATTATCAATGTAGGAGCAAAAGCCAAGTCCAAGAGTAGCAAGAAGACTCTAAGAAAAAGCGAGAAGCATAGCATTCTTTCTTCCAAATTGAGCCATTAAATACGATTCTAAACAATTGGAGCATAAGCTTCCTACTCCAAAATTTCTATTTAATTCATCAGCTTAAACTTTATTTCTTACGCAATGACGATTCCAGCTTAAAAGTCAGTTATTGAAGGATGATTTTTCACTTTGAATGTTAGGAAGAAAGCGCTCATGCACCCATATTATGCCATGACAGAAGTAGCAGCAAAAACAAGTGCGA